AAAAGGTTGAAGAAATTCCAAAACACCTTTTATGGCATAATAATTATTTTCAATTCTACATACTATCTTTAGCTGCTTTTAAAAACGTTCTAAGAAAGTCCAATCAGACCAATTTAATCCCTAAACTATTCCACACTTTTAAAATTTAATTACCTAAAAATATTAAAAACTATTTAAAATAACTTGTTTAGCAGACTGTACAATAGCTATCTTAGTCACACGTAGCGCGTTCTCTGTCTGGGCGTCGAACACCTCTAGAAATTTGATGAACTGTAGAAATAAAGAATTTGAATGTGGCTGTGTAAATCTATCTTTTGGTTTTAAATAATTTGGATCGGGTGTTATTTTATCCGCTAGTTTTTTACCAACAGTAACATAATGTTCATTGAAGATATTTGCTATTGATTGTTGATCAGTTACAATTTGTTGTTTATTCGTTTGATATTGTTTTTAGATTTTTTGGTTTTGGGTGTCAAATCTGCGATTATTTGCCAGATAGCTTTAGTAGAATTTGTACCTTCTAATATTTTTGTTTTGTAGTAATTAGCTTGATTATTCCATTCGTTATCCAACACTTCCGCTTTTTTTCCCTATTATTTACACTATATTTCAGAATTTATTATGAATAACATATTTTCTATTGTAGATTCAATATCATCGAAAGTATAGATTTTAGCCCAGTCAATAAGTTTTATGTTTTGTAGAAGTTTATTATAATTCATTTTTTTATATTTTTTATCGATTGTATTTGTTTTTTGTGTTGTGTTATCAATAATTTGTAACAAAATAGAATAGTGATCAGTCATTTTAGTTTTAATTATAAAAGGTAATAGCAATTCTATATCATGATAAGTTCTCACGAAAATATGATCTAGACAGGACTTGGGGTTTTCGGTTACTCGTGTATTAATTGTAGAAACAAAATTAAATTCATTTAAAGTGCTTAAATGTTCCAGAGTATCTTCTTCCATGCGTTCTTCTAATATGTTAGAGTCATTCCATTTAAAATCGTCTAATTGGCAAAGCTGACCCATCTTAGATTTTGGTGTAACTTCGAGGAACTATTCCTTAGGGTCTCAAAGAAGAAAATTTACACGAGTTTGATTTTTATTAGCACTCGTTTCCGCCTATTTAAATAAAGACTTTTAAAAAATCGATATTTTTAAGCCTTATCGACTTTTCCTCTGATATTTTTCTTTTTGAAGTTAACTACATTATTAAAGCGGAATTCTGAGGGGGAAAGAGAGTAGTTTAAGTATAAGCATCGATAATTTGCTCAGTCAATACCTCTGATTAACGGCAGCATGCTGAAAATGAGTGTCTTTTAATAATATTTCGTGAATTTCATTCGACTATAGTATCTTAACTGCTTAGACTTAGGGCCATTCGCACTGCTTCAGAATAAATTTCCCCTTAGTAAAGTGAAACTTATTATTTAAGTATTACTTATCGTAGTTTAATTCGCACCAGCCTATTAGGCATTCCAACGACCTGTCAAACAATAGGTGCCAGTGGGAAATTCTTGTATATTTAAGGGGGTAACGACATAGTCTTGCAACTTTGACACTATTTTATTCGAAGTAGTACTCGCCAAGGCTGCCAATTTATGAAGAAATGTATAGGTGGGTTTTTAAATATTATTTTTATTGTGTTTGACATAAAATATTTAAATGTAATCCATTATTCATGATTTTACGTAAAGTAGATAGAATACACCATATGTCGCCACCCTTAGATATACCAAACCTGCCCACTGGTAATTCATTTGTTTGGAATGCCTAATTAAAAATCAACGATTAAATAAGTGTCAGATTGATTTGGCAACGTCAAGATTTTTCTAAAAAAAGAAGAAATAATGTCAAATTTGAATTTTGTTTTGAATGTTTAATGAAAGCTGCGTTCAATGAGTATATCGGATTCTTGCTCAATTTACAAAAATTAAATTTGTGTCGAACGATAATTCTAAATTAATGAACCGTAGCATTTGCAATTGAAAGTGAATTTGTTTATTTGTCACTTGGAGTTTTCATCAACAATTTACAATAATTTTAATATTTAAATATTTTTTATTATTTTTATCACATTATAACGCACAACCAGGTTGTTCTAGCACTCGCAAATAGCGACTAGTTTTAGGCATTTTCGGCTGATTTTAAGAGGTTCCCCACTCAACTTTCTTGATAGCAGCAGAAACTAACGCAAAAATTAAACACTCCAAAGCGATACGAATCGTAGAACGAAAGCGATTGGTATTGGTAGCTAAAGTTATGATTGTCACAGGCGCAGAAGAGAGAAAAACTCTCCTGTGTCACTGTCACAGGACTATTTAAAAAAATTAGATAAACTAAAAAGTAGTCAAATAGAGCAGGAAGTACAGCCATAATGAGAGTAAAATTAGTATTAATTCAATTAGTTAATTAAAAAAAAATTATAGAAATCATACTAACGTTGAAAGATAAGGATGAGGAAGCCAATATTACCAAGAAATTCATGCTAATTTTACAAAAAAGATTCCCAAAAACAACACTCTTTCTAAAAATGGTTATAATTGTATAGTCTTCAAAAATATTTGAGTTTGAAACCTACATATTTATTATAAGGATACTATAAATTTGCTTCAATTTCATCAAGGTAATTAAGAATTTTCTTCGGCCAACTTAAATCGCAGTGTAAAAGTAATCGTTTCTTGTATATATTATTTTATTTTCTTCGTGGTATCTAATATTAATGAAATCAGGCATTTGGCATTTTCAAAGCCTCATTATCTTCCATTATTTCCATTTTGTGTATTAAGGGCCCCACTCACCTCGTTTTTCTTTGCGGTTTTTAACCGACGGTTAAAAACGTTGGAAGGAAAAACGTTGACTGATATGTCCACACACAACAGTTTTTTTCGCGCCAGTTTATCACGATGGACCTTACGTGCTTGTTAGCAGTGGCAGCGGTTCTGGCAGTGGAAAAAAATCGTGAAAAAAGAAAATCTCGAAGAAAATGGATTAAAGACTGGCTACTTAAACGCAGTACACTGTCACAAACAAATTTACTGGAGGAGCTAAGATTGGAGCCTGGTGATTGGCATAATTACTTGAAGATGGACGCGGATACGTATCGGAAACTTAAAACTATTAACACCGTTAATTGAGAGACATAATACCCATTTAAGGGAATGGATCAGTCCTCACGAACGCCTAACAGCTACTCTGCGGTTTCTGGCCACTGGCCGCAGCTACGAGGATCTGAAGTTTTCTGTTAGTATTTCACCGCAGGCACTAGGACGCATAATACACGAAACCTGCCAAGCTCGATAAACTCTAATGAAAAAATCTCTATTCCACTATTTAATATCCGACATTTTTATTGTAAATAATAATAAACAACAAAAACATGCTGAACGTCACTGCTACTGATAAATGCCCGACCAGTCAAACTGTTGAGAACACACACCTCGTGTTTACTCGAACGGTTGGCACGATAACCGTCAAAAATCAAGACTCGCCTGAAATTTTGGAACGACGTTCATAAACGACGTTCTTGCCCATACACCTCGTTTTTGTGACATTTTTACCCTGACGTTTTTAACCGTCGGTTAAAATCGGCGGAGGAAGAACGAGGTGAGTGGGGCCCTTTTACAGTTTTACAAATGCTAATAAATCGAATGACCCAATGACAGTCAATATCATTCAAAATTATAAAAATTAAACATTTTAAGGTTAAGTAATGGTTTAAGCTGAAAAATGTCTGGGTGATTCTTAACGCCTTGATAAGTGAAACTTTAATAACGGTGCAAACGGTTATGCCTTCTTAAGTGTCACACGCCTTGATAAGTGCAAACGGTTATGGCTTCTTAAGTGTCACTTAGATGTTAAAGTAAAAGCGGTGCGAATGGCCCATGACATATTTAAGATCTACAACACAATGGTGTTTCTAAATAACTCAATAATATTGGCAGAGGCTTTTGTATCAAAACCGTAATAGGAGAGTGTTGTTTGTAAGATGTTCAAATCAACTGCGTAATATGTCCCTTTTAGATCTAAAAAAATACATGCTGTGTATTCATTTTTTGAGAATCAGAGTACAGGCGTCTAAAGTACCTTTAGAGTTTCGGAATTCGTACTGGGAACTAGGTAACAGAGAGTTATGTTCAAAATACCATTCTAAACCACGTTTAATAATTCTTTCAAAGTTTTACCAAAACAAGATAACAGAGAAATTGGAGTGTAAGACGATGGAACGTTGGGGTCTCTCATAGGTTTAAGAATGAATATAATTACCACTTCCTTAAAAGATTCAGGAAGAATTCTCTGTACTCACCATTGATTATAAATTTCAACTAAGACACTTTTTGAATTGTCTGATTTTCTAATCAAAGAATAAGAAAAGCTATCTTTTCCAGAAGTTGTGTTACAAATGGTTTTAATTGCTAATTCTAGTTTGGTTAAAGTTATTTTTATTGCCGAGGAATAAAACTTGGATCGACAAATGGAGGAGCAATATGGCCAAATAATTATTCTATTAGATCTGGAGCCAGAACAGTTTTGTTATTATATTTAAATTCAAATGAGCACAATGAATAACAACACGTTGACGGGATTAAAGTTTAAATCAGATGAAGTCCAAGAAAATCCATAGAAGTCCACGGAAAGTAAGTAGAAGGTATGGAAGTTTGGAAGTCCGGCGTACAAAATTTTGGTAGTGGTTTACCCCTCGACTACAAGCAATACACCCTTAGCACCCTTTTTCTGTTTAGCACTTTCAGTATTAAATTAAAAAAGAACAATATTCTAGTAAATTAAGAGATAAACTCAAATACTATCAGGCAGCATATATACATTTTTTTATAATCAATTATCTCAAATTATCAAAAGTTTTTATTTAGTCAATCTTCAATCTTGAAATTTACTTTCTTGAACATTTTAGTAATTTGTAACTTAGTCCCTTTTTTCTCAACACCCTTCAATTATAAGTGCTATCTAACTTTCTCTTCTAAATAAAACAAATAGTATAGGTTCAATTCAACCAAGACTTTAATGATGTTACAACCTAAAGAATACAAAAGAGCATCTATTTGGAAATAGAATCATTCATCAACTGATAATCATACCAATTCACAAAAATAAAAATCCTAATGTAATTAAATAGAAACAAAAAAAAAATATAGTTGAATCCGAAAATAATAAACAATAATCCGTGAAGAAATACCATTACTATGCAATATTCAATATATACCCGCTACTGAATCGTTTCCTCTTACTTCGCACATTCCATTACTGCCCATTATTTCCGAATTCAACTATTATTAATCAATAATAATAATAAAACTAAACTAGCGAATAGCAATCAATCCAGATTCGAGCAACTTCTGTATCTTCGCGGCTATATCGGGATTCTTTAGATGGTCCTGCAAAGCTTTCGGATCGTTCTGCATTTGTTCCAAAATCATCCGCATCGCGGGATCCCTCAAAATCTGCTGCACCTCCGGATCGCCCATCGCGCGTTGCCTGATCTTCTCCGGATCGCCGCCGTCCAAATTCGCGTTCTCGATCGTACACGCCCTGTATCCCTGCAGCGCTTCGGAGTTGTTCGGATCGAGTTCCAAGGCTTTTTGAAAAGCTACGATGGCTTTACTCGATTGCTGCATGCCTTGCAGGATATGTCCCTTGCGGATCCAGCCCTTGATGAATTTCGGATCGAGTTCGACGCATCTATCACAGTCTTTGAGGCCCAAATCGAAGGCGGCTAGTTTCGTGTAGCAGGCGGCGCGGTTGCTGAACAGTTTCGGATCGTCCGGGTTGCGTTTGATGGCTTCCGTGTAGTGTTTGACGGCCGTGGCGTAGTCGCCCTTTTTGAATAGTTCGTTACCTACGAGCGGAAACAAAATTATTATAGAAAATACTTTTCAACGTTTGTGTGTTCATTAAATCTGACTCGCGCGAATCCTATATACAGGAACACTTCTCGCACATCTGATATCAAAACATACTTCAAATGTAGAAGCGTGGCATTTGCATCTGACAATTTTCATTTAAATCGACTTTTAAGATTTAACGTTCGACAAATGCATACAACAACAAAATTTTGACATCCAAAATGTCAATTTTATATCTTCTATAACCATCCATTTTAACAAGCGAAAAACATACCTTAACATTTTTTTCATAAAAATGTAATTTTCTCAATAAAACTTATTTTTGTGCGTCCCAAAATTATTAATGTGAATAAGAAACACGTTTTTATTCAGTAAAACGACAATACTTAAATAACGTCAAAGTAAATGTTTTTCATTCAGTGTGAACTTTGAAAACGTCCCAAATATCGATAATGTTCTGTTAAAACGTCTTTTAAACACAATCGTTACTGAAAAACGCCATTACTGTTACAAAACTTTCAATTTTGTATCAAATTAGACTTTTAACATTTAAAGTTCGACAAATGTCTTTTCTCAATAAAACCTTCTTTTACAAAAACTTCTTTTTGTAGGTCAAAAAATTAATAATGTGAATAAGAAAAACATTTTTATTGAGTAAAAGGACAAAAACAAAGTTTTGAATATTTAACGTCAAAGTAATCGTTTTTATTCGATATGAACTTTCAAAACGTCAAAAATATCCATAATGTTCTGGTAAAACGTCTTTTAACCACAATCATTCCTGAAAAACGCCATTACGGTTCCAAAAGCGTTCAATTTTATATCATCAAGATAAACTTTTAACATTTAACATTCAATAAATGTCTTTTCTCAATAAAACCTTTTTTTACAAAAACATCTTTTCTAGGTCCAAATAGTATTAATATTAATAAGAAAAACATTTTTATTGAGTAAAAGAAAAAAAAAACGTTTTCAATACTTAACGTCAAAGTAATCGTTTTATTCGATGTGAACTTTCAAAACGTCAAAAATATCGATGTTCTGTTAAAACGTCTTTTAAACACAATCATTCCTGAAAAACGTCATTACTGTTCCAATAACGTTGAATTTAGTATAGTCAAGATAAACGTTTAACATTCGACAAATGTCATAGATCCAAAAAATATTAATGTGAATAAGAAAAACGTTTTTATTGATAAAAGGACAAAAAAACGTGTTCAATACTTAACTAACGTCAAAGTAATCGTTTTTATTCGATGTGAATTTTCAAAACGTCCAAAATATCGATAATATTCTGTTAAAACGTCTTTTAAACACAATCATTCCTGAAAAACGCCATTACTATTCCAATAACGTTAAATTTTGTATCATCAAGATAAACGTTTAACATTCGACAAATGTCAGATCCAAAAATTATTAATGTGAATAAGAAAACCGTTTCTATTGATAAAAAGACAAAAAACGTGTTCAATACTTAAATAACGTCAAAGTAATCGTTTTTAAACTATGTGAATTTTCAAAATGTCCAAAATATCGATAATATTCTGTTAAAACGTCGTTAAAACGTCTTTTAAACACAATCATTCCTGAAAAACGCCATTACTGTTCCAAAAATGTTCAATTTTGTATCATCAATATATATATATATAACCAAAAAAAAAATATATTTTTCATTTATATGTCTAAACATAATTATTAACGTTAATCATGAAGGAATTGAGTACTCTGGGATGATTCTGAGGATAAAGGAGTAAAAAATTGGAAACCAGATACTGGATTACCATTTTTTTTACATGCAATGAATGTTCTCCTTGAATTGAAGATGGGCAGAAGTTAAATTGGAAAAAATAACAGAAAGAATTCAGGACTCTGTGATAATTCTGAGGATAAAGGAGTAAAAATTTGGAAACCAAGCACTGGAATACCATTTTTTTTACAAGCTACAAAGGTTCTCCTTGAACTGGAAATTGACAGAAGTCACATTTGAAAAATATTAGAAGGAATTGCATATTCCGGGATGATTTCGAGGATAAAGGAGTAAGAATTTGGAAACCAAACACTAGAATATCATTTTTTACACGCAAAAAACGTTCCCCTTAAATTGGAAGTTGGCAGGAGTAACAATTGAAGAATATTAGAAGGAATTGACTACTCCAGGATGATGCTGATAATAAATGAGTAAAAAAATGGATACCAAACACTGGAATACCATTTTTTATACGCAACATTCTCCATAAATTAGAAATTCGCATTTGATGACTAACACAAGAAATTGAAGACTTTAGGATGATACTGAAAATTAAGGAGTAAGAAATTGGAAACCAAACACTGGAATACCATTTTGTATACACAAAAACGTTTTCCTTGGACTGGAAATTGGTAGACGCAATATTTGAAGTATATTAGAAGGAATTGAGTACTCTGGGATGATTCTGAGGATTAAGGAGTAAAATATTGAAAACCAAACACTGGATTACCACTTTTTTATAAGAAACATACATTCTCCTTAAATTGGAGATTAGCAGAAGTTAAATTGGAAGAATATCAGAAGGAATTGAGAACTCTGGAATGATTCTAAGATTAAAGGAAGAAGAATTGGAAACTTGAGTCCCATTTTACAAGCTTACCTTGTTCCTTCTCCTTCTCGGCCAATTCGGGATTAACATAAGATTTCAACTCCTCATCCTTGATGATCCTTTCCACTTCCGACAACAAAGTCTTGATCTCCGGCGTTCTATGTTCGGACATGGATTTTTCGTAGTAGGTCTTCGCCGTTTTGTAATCCTTCAGTTTCCTACAGGCGTTGCCGATTCTCATGAACGATTTCGCGATCAATTTGAAATCGGCTCGGTTTTCGCGACCGATTTCGATCGCTTTTTCGCATTGCTTTATGCACTCGTCGTACTCCTTCTGTTCGAAATAGACGGCGGCCAAGTTATTGTAGAACGTCATGTCGGTGGGATCGTGCTCGATGGCTTTGGTGTAATGGACGATGGCGTTTTCGAAATCTTTCTTTTTGTAATACGAGTTGCCTTCTTCTTTGGCGGCCATCGCTAGCCTATTGTCGACAATTAAAAAAAAATACATAAAATCGATCGCACTGGAGAGCAGTGGCGGCTCGTGAGCAAAAAATTGGAGGTTCACAATGACAGAATATAGATTTCAGTACAGATTTAGGTAAAAAACTTTAAGTTTTTATAATATACCTTTCCAAAACACTGAAAGCGTTTTACCTAAATTTGTACTGAAACCTATATTCACTCATTGTGAACCCCCAATTTTTTGGCCACGAGCCGCCATTGCTGGGAGATTTATTCGACTAAGGAGTGTTCCAAAAAAAAAAGGTTTCTAAAGTAGGCCTTGGAAAAAACACACGTATGGCGAGCGTACAATTCTTCTTTTTAATTGTCAGTTTGGATTTTTGTCTTTTTCTGCCATGGCCTACTTTAAAAACAATGTTTGTGGATCACTGTTTATTATTTGGCGGGATGATGAACCATGATGTGTATCAGATATAATAAATTGGCCATTAGTGTGTTGTCAAACATAGATCAGTACATAACAAAATAATTCGAACATAAAATGCAGTGTTGTTTATTCGAATTGTAATTTTTATTATACCAAATATCAAAATTGTTATGTCAAACGTCAAACACATAAAAAAAACCGTGATTACTTATCCAATGAATATCTAAAAACGTTACTACAGCCAGCGATTACTGTCTAATGAATGTCCAAAACGATTGTCCTAAAAAAACGTCCAACGAATATCTAAAAACGTCCAAAAACGTTGCTAAAACAAAAACAACCCACTATGAAAAAATGTTATTACTTGACAATTATCCAAAACGTTTGTCCTAAAAAAACGCTACTATTTGTCCAACGCCTACTTTAGAAACAATTTTTTTGTATCACTGTTTATTATTTGGGATGATGATGGACCATGATGTAAATAAGACATGAATTGGCCATAAGTGTGTTGTCAGGCACAGATCAGTACATTACCAAATAATTCGAAAATAAAATACAGTGTTGTTTATTCGAATCGCCATTTTGGGTATAGCAAATGTTAAAATTGTTATGTTAAACGTCAAACACATAAAAAACGCGATTACTTATCCAATAAATAGCCAAAAACGTCTAAAAAGCGTTACAACGTCTAAAAAGCGTTACAACGTCTAAAAAGCGTTACTACGGCTAGCGATTACTGTCTAATGAATGTTCAAAACGATTGTCAAAAAAACGTTACTACTTGTCCAACGAATATCTAAAAACGTCCAAAAACGTTGCTAAAACAAAAACAACCTACTTTGAAAAAACGCTATTACTTGACAAATAATTATTCAAAACGTTTGTAAAAAAACCGTTACTATTTGTCCAACGCCTATTTTAGAAACAATTTTTCTGTATCACTGTTTATTATTTGGGGTGAAGATGGACCATCATGTGTATAAAATATGAATTGGCCATTAGTGTGTTGAGAGACACAGATCAGTACATAACAAAATAATTCGAACATAAAATGCGGTGTTGTTTATTTGAATCGTTATTTTTGGTATACCAAATGTCAAAATTGTTATGTCAAACGTCAAACACATAAAAAAACCGTGATTACTTAACCAATGATTATCTAAAAACGTTACTACAACCAGCGATTACTGTCTAATGAATGTCCAAAACGATGGTCCAAAAAAAAACGTTACTACTTGTCCAACGAATATTTAAAAACGTCCAAAAACGTTGCTAAAACACAAACAACCTACTTGACAATTATCCAAAACGTTTGTCCAAAATAAAAAAAAAACGTTACTATTTGTCCAACGCTTACTTTAGAATTTTTTTTTCTGTATAACTGTTTATTATTTGGGGTGATGATGGATCATGATGTGTATAAGATATGAATTGGCCATTAGTGTGTTGCCAGACACAAATCAGTACATAACAAAATAATTCGAACATAAAATGCGGTGTTGTTTATTCGAATCGTCATTTTGGGAATACCAAATGTCAAAATTGTTATGTCAAACACATGAAGATCCTTTTTTTAGAATGTTTATTAATATTAACAAATTGATATCTTTGTGATTAAAATATACAAATAAAAAAAAATTTCAAGTTCAAACGTCATTTGTACTATTCGAAAAACATTTTTTAGGTGTAGAATAAACATTTTTGTTACATAAAGTGAACATAAACATTAAAGAAAAAACTTTAAATTCAAAAATATAAAACTTAACATTTCAATTTCATATTTGTTATGTCAAAACTTCAAAAGTGCCATCTTTGTTGTTAAACATAAAAAACACTAATTTATATTATTTTTATTATGTACAAACGTCATTTTTGTTATGTCCAAGTGTCAATAAATATAATTCTTTTTCCGGTAGAATAAAACGTCATTTATATTTAACAAAAAAGGTGAAACAAAAACAAAACTTTTTTAAATCCAAAAATATGAAATTTAATATAAAAATATAATTTTTGCTATGTACAGACGCCACAAAAATACAATTTTATGATATTTAAACGTTCTTAAACTTCATTTTGTTATGTTCAAAACGCCAACATTGCCATTTTTATTATTTAAAAATAAAAAACACTTATTTTTATGAATAAGCGTCATTTTTGTTACGTCCAAGTGTCAATAAACATGATTTTTTGTCCGGTAGAATAAAATGTCATTTATATTACACAAAGAGGTGAAACATAAACAAAACTTTTTTAAATTCAAAATAGGAAATTTAACATAAAAATATAATTGTTGTTATGTACAAACGACACAAGCATAATTTTATAATAAATAAATGTGTTTTAACTTCATCTTATGTCAAAACACCAAAATTGTCAACTTTACTGTTTAAAAATAAAAAAAAACCTAATTTTAATGTGCAAATGTCATTTTTGTTATGTCTAAATGTCAATAAACATAATTTTTTATGCCCGGTAGAATAAAACGTCATTTTTATTGAACAAAGTGGTGTACCGCAAAAAAATACTTTTAAAATCCAAAAATATGAAATTAAACTTAAAAACATAATTTATGTTATGTACAAATGCCACAAACATCATTTTATAATATCTAAATGTGTTAAATTGCATCTTGCTCTGTCAAAATTGACATCTTTATTGTTTAATAATAAAAAATACTAATTTGTCAAAGTGTTATAAACATAATTTTTTATGTTCGGTAGAATAAAACGTCATTTTTATTGCACAAAGTGATGAACAACAAAGAACACTTTTTAAAACAAAAAATTTAAAAGTCACAAGCATAATTTTATAACACTTAAATGTGCTAAATAGCATCTTATATCAAAACACCAAAATTGTCATCTTTATTGTTTAAACATAAAAAACATTGTTATGTACAAATGTCATTTTTGTTATGTCCAAGTGTCAATAAACATGATTTTTTTTGTTCGGTAGAATAAAACGTCATTTATATTAAACAAAGTGGTGAAACATAAACAAAACGTTTTAAGCCCAATAATAAGAAATTTACCATAAAAATATAATTTTTGTTATGTACAACAAACGTCACAAACATAATTTTATATTTAAATGTTCTTAAAATTCATCTTGTTATGTCAAAACATCAAAATTGACACCTTTGTTGTTTAAACATAAAAACACTAATTTGTATAGTACAAAAACGTCATTTTTGGTATGTCCAAGTCATTTTTGTTATGTTCAAACGTCATTTTTATTATGTTGAAATGTCAAAAAAATAATTATTCATGCCTGGTAGAATAAAATGTCATTTTTATTATACAAAACAAAAATTAACCAAAAATATAAAATTTAACATAAAAACATAATTTTAGTTGTATACAAATGCCACAAATAATTTTAACTTAACCAAACGTGCTTAAACTTCTTTTTGTTATGTCAAAACATCAAAATTGATACCTTTGTTGTTTAAACATAAAAACACTAATTTGTATAGTACAAACGTCATTTTTGGTATGTCCAAGTCATTTTTGTTATGTACAAACGTCATTTTTATTATGTTGAAATGTCAAAAACATAATTTTTCATGCCAGGAGGACTAAGATGTAATTTTTATTGCACAAACGGATAAAAACACAAAAAATACATTTTTTATATTCAAAAATATGAAATTTACCATAAAAATATAACTTTTGCTGTATACGAATGCCACAAATAATTTAAACTAAACTAAACGTGCTTAAACTTTATCTCGTTATGTCAAAACATCAAAATTGCCACCTTTGTTATTTAAAGATAAAATCACTAATGTGTATACTACAAATGTCATTTTTGGTATGTCCAAGTCATTTTTGTTATGTAAAAACGTCATTTTTATTATGTTGAAATGTCAAAAACATAATTTTTCATGCCTGGTGGACTAAAATGTTATTTTTATTACACAAACTGATAAACACACAACAAAATACTTTTTTTATATCCAAAAATATGAAATTTAACATAAAAATATAACTTTACTGTATACAAATGCCACAAATAATTTTAACTAAACTAAACTTCATCTTTGTTATGTCAAAACACTAAAATTGACATAAAAAACATCAATTTTTTTTATGCAAATGTCATTTTTGTGATGTCCAAGTCATTTTGATCATGTACAAACGTCAAAAAAACAATTTTTTTATGTCTGTAGAATGAAACATCATTTTTTTCGCACAAAAGTGATAAATCGCAAAAAAAATTCAAAACATAATTTTTACTGTATACAAACGCCAAAATAATTTTAACTTTTCTAAACATGCTTAAACTTTATTTTGTTATGTCAACATACCAAAATTGACATCTTTAATGTTTATACATAAAAAAACAGTAATTTTTATGTACAAACGTAATTTTTGTTGTTATTTATTGATTAATATATAAATGTTTAAACAAACAAATTATTATCATCATTACCTTTTATTCTCAGGCAACTCGGGTTCAGGCTCCTTCTTGGGCTGAGGTTTAGGTTCCGCCCTCTTAGGCCGCGGCGTGTAAATTGGTTCAGTGTCCATAGGTTCATCGGCGCCAGGATCCATTCCTATTAGAACGCTAAGAGTCGTCAGCACCCTAGGATCTTGCAATTTGCTTCCTAGGGTCTGCGGATTCGACTGGAGTTGCGCAAGCAAAGCTAAATATTCGGGATCGTCTAAATAGGCTTTGGTCCTGGGATCAGATCTCAATTTCATTAATACGTCTGGACCGGAGAAGGGATTTGGAATCGAACGATTTTTTTGCGCTTTTTGACATCTCACCTTGAAAAACAATATTGGTTCGATAAAGGAATGTAAAGAAATGAATGAAGCAGCTTATAGGAAAGATATAGATATGGAAAGGATAAGGATATAGATTGATTTTTTTTTAAATTCATTATATCTGCTTTTTTAGATTCAATTATTTTATTTTGATTATCAAGCTAATAATGATTGTAAATCCTCTTCTGTATCTTCATAACTTTCAGTACTTCTTCTCAAACGTTTTATATATGTGTCTCTTTCTTCAACAGCAGTGTTAAAATTAGCAATTTCATCTTTAAAATTATTTTCTTTGCTTTCCAAGTCTAATTTGATATTCTGACATTTTGAGGAGCAATAGATCATATGATTGCCCAGTTTCACGAAATATTTAATGTCTTTGTCCAAGCAGCTTTGGTGAAAAACGTTTAAACATACAACACAAATAAAATTTTTAAAGTCTTCTGTGTTCCAGCATTTAAAATGTGAAGACATGATCGAATGGGACGCCACTGCTTTTGTACAAAGTAAAAGCTGATAATCAGTTTTTTTTAGTGATATTTAAAAAATCACAAATATTGATATACAGGGTGGCTCACTCTCAACGGGACGGAGCTTTATGGGAAAACGACCAAAGATATAAAAAATTCGTTTGGGAGGAATACGTAGGTTACAGACGGCTACAATTTAAAATTTGTTAGATGTATACAGGATGTCCCACATAAGAGAAAATATACAAAGTTATATTATTTTTAATGGAACACCCTGTTTTTTATTTTAGAAATAAAAACTACATCAAAAATAATGTCAGTTAACTAAAGTTTCCCTATTACTATTATTATTAGTTTTCGATTTATTTGAATTTTTAAGGAAAAAAAGTATCCCAGAAATTAATTGTTTACTCTTGTTTGAATAATTTTTAATGAACTAATTTTTTTTTTCTTATGTGGGACATCCTGTATACATCTAACAAATTTTAAATTGTAGCCGTCTGTAACCTACGTATTCCTCCCAAACGAATTTTTTATATCTTTGGTCGTTTTCCCATAAAGCTCCGTCCCGTTGAGCGTGAGCCACCCTGTATATTAATCAGGCAATTTTCAAAATGTACTTGGATCATAAGGGTTAGGAATAGTGATAAAAATATCAAAAACATTAGGTGACATGTTTCACTCTTCATATACACATTTCAAATACCTAATATATTTTTAATCCACTGTTTTCCTTGTAGATTATGGATGAGATTATTAAAATCAAAAAATGTATCTAGGAATGCCAAAGTAAGAGTATATAAGACAGTAATTAGGCTGACAGTAACCACAGCTTGTGAGACATGGGCTCTAACCAAAGATACAACAAACAACAAACCAAAGATGACAGATTTTTGGTGGAAAGTAAATGAAGTTTGGGAAAGAAGGTGTAATAAAGAGCTATATGAGTTGTATAAATAACCTATAATAACAAAAATTGTGAAAGCTCAAGGAATAAGGTGGCTGGAACATATTTGAAGAATGATAGTGAAGAAAGTCTTGCTATCCAACACCTATTGTGTTGTTTACTAAACAATATTTATTTATTTATTTCACCTTATAAGAAAATTGTACAAAAAAATTATACAATGTTTATCGTGAAACATGTCATGGTAATTATAAAAATACATAAAATTATATATCTAAAAAAAAATTTAGAAAAAAGAAACATACCTAACAAAACATGAATTATTATATAAAATATTCTTCTATGGAATAACAGTTTTTCTCTAATAAACGTTTTTTTACATTAGACTTAAAAGTGAAGAGATTACTGTTCTTTATACCCTCTGGAAGGATATTATAAAATTTACAACCCATATACTCTAGTATATACTTAGTAATTGGCTTTTGTTTCTTGTGTTATACTCATGAGAAGCACGCTCGGCAACATATATTGATCTGTTCTTATGAAAAAAAGTACATGCTTCTAATATATGTCGGATTACGGGTATTTAGGGCGTCACCGTCAGACATTGTTATGACAAAACATTACATTTAACACTTGCAAAACTTGTTAATGCAATATAGAACAATAAACAATGTTGACAACACTTTAAACGACGTTACATAAATAATTATTAAAGAAATAAGGATAATAATACGATATCAATTATTAATCAATTAAAGAAATGATACTAGCGATCTGGAGCCAGCGTACCACTTTTCTAATCTGTTCTCATTCCTTATTTTCTATCAACATCCTGCTGGCTCCGTTCCGCCCCCTTGCCCTTCACTATGAATGGCAAGTGTGTATCATTTTTGCTAATTCATCACTTACAAAAATCAAGTAGAAGCTTACAACTTATCTTATTGAAATACCAACTACCAATAAATTAATCTTCTTAAAACTATAAACAAAATAATAGTTAAGCATCAGCGCGCCGACATATATATTCCCCAGCCAGTGTCAGAATTTTAAATTTTTTTAAAAACTCTCTACATGAATTTCTTATTCTCAGTTTTGCAATAATTCTTATGGCATATTTTTGAAGAACCAAAACTCTTTGCTTGGTAGAACAGGTACCCCAATTAAGTATGCCATATTTCAAATGAGAGTAAAAATTTGCATGATAGATTGTTTAGTTTAGAATGTACTTTTACTACAATGATTGGCAAGAAATTTAAGACTATAGCCACTTTTTCGTAATTTATTACACAGGTTATCAATATGTGAATTCCAGGTTATGCCATAATCAATAGTGATTCCTAATATTTTAATATTTTCTTCACATATAATCGGATTATTAGTGTTTTCAAATAATTGGTTTTGTATAAATAGTTCATTATTATTAAATAACATTATATTAATTTTAGTTTTGTTTAACTTTGTTATTTTTTTTCGACCATGATAAAACTCTCTATTGCTATTTTTGGTGCATTTGCATTATTTTTGACAATCAAAATATCTGTGTTGAGTATATTCCAGGAATAGCATTCAAGAAAGTGATTAGGTTGTTGGCAAAAACTAAAAATTGACCCAAAATTGATCCTTGGGAAACCCCTTGTGAAACTTCCAGCTCCAAACTAGGAACATTATTCACTTGAACAATTTGTCTTCTATTTGATAAATATGATTCCAATAAGTCAAGTGGTATAACCTATTACCCCATATTTAGACAGCCTAAGCAGTAGAAGTTTATGGTCCACACAGTCAAAAGCTCTAGAAAAATCAATAAACAAACCCATTACATGCTTCTTACTATCAAGAGATCTTACGATTTTAGTATGGTACTCTATCAATGCAGTATCTGTACTCTTTTTTGAAGTATGTTGTGATGGCGATAACAGCTTAAACTTAGTGAAAAAATTACATAATTGAATTTTGATATTCCACTCATATACTTTGGAAAAAGTTGACAAGATACTTATTTGTCTATAGTTATTAATATCATTTGGATCTTCCTTTTTGTAAATGGAAGCTACTTTAGCAAGTTTTAAAGAATCTGAAAAAATACCTTTCTCAGTTGATAAATTCAACAAAAAACTCAATGGTTTAGCTAATAGAGCAACACACTTTTTATTTAACTTATTATTTAAGCAATCAGTGCCAACTGAAATAGTGTTTTTAAAGACTGTATTAATTTTAAAACATCCCCATCTAAAACAGAAGCCATATTAAATGTTTTAATATTAGATGTAATATTTTTATTTAAAAATTCTATGTCACAAACTAAGCTATCTATAGGGGCTTTAGTGAAATTAATATTACATTTATTTACCAAATTAGAATCACTTATCTGGTTACCCTAAGTTGGTTATTTGATTTGTTGTTCCCTTTTGCAATTGCCCAATCACTTCCCAGGTAGCTTTAGTCTTATTTTCAGAGCTTAAAATGAGATTATCATAGTACTGCTTAGAGGCCTGTTCTAACCTAAGCTTATAAGTATTATTTAACATTTTACTAATTTCAACATATCTTTGACATTATTTTTTAATTCCAATAAATCTGCATTCCACCTATAGTTATTATTAGGCTTTTTATTTTTAGTTTCATATAACTAACTTTTTTGGAAAGGCAGTTTCAAAATAGGATAAAACAATTTCCGCAAATTGATCATAAGCTAAATTGGGACAGGTCTGATCCAAAACACTAGTCCAATCTTTAGCCCCTAATAGATTATGAAAATGTTCTATGTTATAAAGAAGGAGGAAGACCAAGAGTAAAATGAAAACAATAAGTAGAAGATTTAAAGACATTAAGGATAAAAAAGTGGATAAAAAATCGTTAGGATAGAGGAAAATAGGAAAAATATAGTGAAATAGGTCTGTGACAATAGGTCTGTTATGTGTAAATACAGGGGGTCAAAGGGGTGTCAAAAACCCTTGTAAAAACATAGAATTAATTTTAAAAGTCACTAACTCCATTTTATTGGTCATTGTATACTTACATCATGTAAGACAATGTAGAAGTAAAAACAAAAAAACCACTTCTTAAATTTCTACTTTAACGCCCTGTAAGTTTTTTACAATTCATTTTTTAATTAAGCAAGTTAGCTTAAATCTACTTATTTTTGAACCCAGAAACTGTGGTTAAATGTATTGTACATCTTTTTTTTACACTCTGTATAGCACAATTGTTTAACCTGTATATGGTGTCTCAACCAATGAAAATATCATTGAAACTTGTAGAAGTTCTAAAACAATTCGACAAATTCTCAAAACTGAATAAATTCATTATTGAATACTTTTCAATGAATACGAAATAATGTGTTGAAAAATAAGTAATGCTGTGAGCAACTGAACATTATTTTGATTGTTCAACAGCCACAAGAAATTAAAATCAGTAACAACATTGAGAAATTCACAATTGTTAAAAATATTTCAACTTTTTTACTTTTCATTGGCCACAAGAAGATTGTACCATTGCGAAATTTCTCAAATTATTTTTTACAGCTAACAAACTTTAAAATACTATTTGCGAAAACTTTTAAGTGAAAACATTCTTAAAATCTTTGTGAATCACTTATTAAGCATTAAAATAGTTTTCTGTATGACTAATATTTATTAAGTAAACATAGGATTAAATTAATGTACCTAGATATTTTCTAAATACCACTTATAATATCTATGAATCACTCTTACCTCCGTCAAACCTTCTGTAAGTTGGGCATTACTAGGATCGATTTGCAACCCCTTTTCATAAGTAGCGATCGCATCATCGTATCTACCTAAATACGATAGAGCAGCGCCTTTCCTAGAATAGGCCTTCGACCAGTCCGGTTTGATATCGACAGCCTTTTCGGCATCTTTTAGAGCTAATTCGTATTGGCTGGCCTTCGCGTAAGCCGCCGATCTATTTGAAAATAAAACGGCGTTTTTGGGATCTAGCTCGATGGCTTCTGAATAATATTTGATTGCTTCGTCTATTTTGTTTGCGCTAAGGGCTGCGTTTCCTTTATCTTTCAAAGCGGCGACCTACGACAACAATGTGCTCTCAATTTTTCATGTTTATAAGAAAAATAGCGATTTTACGGCATTCTTACTGTTCTAAAGCGATTTGTTGCATAAGCAATTTGCTGAATACTCACCTTTTCCATTTCACTGGTAAATAACTTTCTATATTTCACTATTTAAATGTTTAACAAGAACCTCCTATATAAATTCTTATCGAAATTTCTATTTCATTCCAGAATTTTCGCCTCCCACTCTACAGACAGCGATGACAATGACATTTGTCTGTCATTGTCAAAAAGAAAATGTCATCCTAAATTAAAAAATTATTTATTTTCTGAATTTTTAGAAACAGTACATATCAGACTTGTTAATCGCTAAAATATGAATATTTCTATGATTTTTATTCATCAATTAAAGCTTTTAAAATCAAATTTCACAGAAGACAGAATGATTGACGTCAATGTTGCCAAGTTACTCATGATACACTGTGGTCAAAAATCATATTTTTGCCATGTATTCTCTATTGATATAGGGTGGTTAAGTCAAAGACGTTAATAAAATAACAAGCAATTTTCCTGTAAAAGGATAAAATAAAAGAAATGAAAATACTTTTATAAACAATGCGTTCTATGATTGAACGTTTACGTTATCCGTAACGTATATGTTAGGCCGAGTTTTGACAGTAACGAGGAAGTTCGTATGATAGAAAACTTTTTCCAACACATTACTATTATTTTCCGCCTGTTATGTTCTAATTTAAGTGATATACTTCATTATTATCAGTTATTTGATTAAAATATTCCTGGAGAGATAGTACATATATAGTACATATGCTTTACAAACTTTCTTATAAGCTTATACCCCAGTATATATACCAATACAGTAGCGACAGATCATTTTTTATGAGGGGTCCATATTTTTCTGCGCATGTCCGAAAATAAGCGACAAAAACGTCAACGTCAATAGTGTCAATGCGATGTAAATGTAAATAATGTAAATATGTCATTATTTTTGTTTGTTTGCTGTGCATATTTTGAGACATTTTTATTATTTTAGTTTTTCATTTATTGTGTGATATTTTTGAAATGGCTTCTGCACCTGATCAGAAAAGAAAGAGATGTGTCTATCGCCCTTGTCCATCTCAAACAGAGTAAACAGACAAAGGGACAAGTTATTTTGCATTTCCCATGGAGCCAGAAAGGTATGTCTTAAGAAAATACTTTCAATTTTTATATTTGAAAACCAAATATTTATTTGACAACCAAATATTTATTATTTAAATGTAAAAAATATATAATTTCTGAACTACCGTCAATCTAAACATTTGTTATCAACTTTTTTATATTTTAGGGCCAACATGTGGTTAAGAGCTTGTAATAGGGAAGATTTGAGTAACATAGATGTGAACAGTCTTCATCGGAATTACAGGTTGTGTGAGAAACATTTTGAGAAGAATTGTTTTTCTAAAACGTTGAACCGTAAACGTTTATTGCCTACTGCTGTTCCCACATTTTTTATCCATCTAGGTCATCAGCCAAATGTCTATCTTCTCCCTAATACATCGACCAAGTGCTTCCTCTGTTGAGACTATCACTGAACATGAACGAGATATTTTTGGAAGCGTACCATGTGCAACCTTTGGACATTCTTAATCAAAAATCCTACCTCCAAATTATTATAATGAATTAGATGTTCTTTGATTCACTATGTCCATTGATTAAAAATGTTCTGATTGACTAAATCTAATCAAAATATATATGTATTTCTTGTAAAGTAGCAAAAAGAAAATTAAAAAAAAATGTAATTTGTGGTGTTATTATTTTAACTGTTTTTTAATTTTTGATTTGTTTCATTTATACAATATTTAAGCACTTAAACAATAATATATATAAACTTATAAATAGTTGTATGATATATATACGTTAGGTAAATTAGGACAAGGATGATTAAATTCTATTTCTTTCATAATATCAAAAAAAGCTATGCGATATACCAGACATTACACAGGTATTGCTAAAAATAGATATAACATTTTTTTATAATTTAAATATATAGATAATAAACTTTTCATTTGGAGTTTTTAGGCCTCCATAAGTGCTTTATTTGCAATCAAATGTTAAAATCTGTGAACTATCCAAATCTTCACATTCTTTTGAAAATTTAATAAATGTATTACATCCATGTATGCCTAAAGCTTTTTTGATCAAATAGCCACAAACATATTTAAATGGATTTTGAACTATTATATCTTCTGTCCTGTAGCTGTAATTAGGAAGAAACACAGCTTCTCCAGTGTTTTTATTTATTTCAGGATACAGAGAGACAATATTTTTTACATCTAATTGTAGCAAGTGTTTGTCCAGGTCTTCATTACAATTCATGGAATTGCAATGAAGATAATTTTGACAAAAAAGTTTTTTAAATGCCCTTTCGAATTGTACAGGTGTTGGATTAATTAAATTCCCACCCTGTTGCCTAATGGACCCAACAAATTTTTCTAGACAGTCACTGTTGATTCTTCTAGCCATTAAATATTTAAATCCCGCAGCAGATAACCTTTCCCATACAAATTTTAAACCATAAAATCGTTAAATATAAACATCTAATTTTTATGATGTGACGTTAATAGTATTTAATTATATACATAGGTAATATAAGCAATTGGGCAGCATTGTGCTTAACGGGTGACTTACAACAGGCATTTGCTAAAACTCATCTGAAGTCAAAAATTTGTACGTAGGAACAAAAATTGAAATAAAATAATTCTTGTATTGTAAATTCATTAAAAACTTACTAATTTGTAATTGTGTGTTTTAATAAATATTATTGTTACATGTTGTTTCACTTCTAAAAAGATACCTACATAACCTCATTTTAAATAAAAAAATAAGGTGCTGAGTTAATTTATTAGTTCCAGGAAGAAACCAAAAACTGTTTGACACATTTCATACAATGAATGGCATACAAAAGTAATTTATTTTATTCTAATGATAAAATTTTAAAATTGGCACATCTATATTTTCACCGGAACTCATTTATTTAAGTTACACAATATTTTGATTAATTTATTTGCCTAGAATACATTAAAATGTTATATGTACATGTTTTAATTTTTTTCTAATTGTACATCGCTAATTTGCAATTTTAGAGTTTACTTTTCTCCGTGTAGAAATAAGCGACAAAAACGTCAACTGTCATTGAAAATCTGACCACCCCGACATCAAAGAAGCCGACGCAATCTGTCGCTACTGTATTGTTCTTTATACTGGGCTTATACTAACTCGTGTAAACTTCCACGAATGTAACGACCATTTTTTTCTTTATACTGGGTTAAATATTCGAAATGACTTCGATCCTATCAGGCGAGGTTTAAATTTTTTTATAGGTCGCAGTTTATACGAAATACTGAAAATGTTATAACATATTTGCCTATGTTCGTAGAAGCCCGCCTAAGTTCGTTAAAACTAGCCTATATTTATAGAGGCTTACCAACGTTTGTAGAAGCTCGCCTACACTCGTGAAGGCTCGCTTGAAAAAAAGTTTGTACTGCATATAAAATTTGGCATAGGCTCTTTAAGGGTCGATTCCACCGTTGTGTTAAACGAAGTTTAAATTACTAAACGAATATTAAAATGACCTTGGCAACGTAAAAATATCATTTCTTCGTTTAACACAACGGTGGAATCCACAAAGCACGTGGAATCGGTCCTAATGTACTCGTCTGCGTTCGTGAAACACATTTCTGAAATTAGACGTTAATAGTGTTTATCCCATCAAAAATTCATCCATAAGACAGGTCGAGATCGGAAATCTCCGTCCCTGAACATACTTTTAATAGATTAGGGCCGATTCCATCGTTTTGTTAAACGAAGTTTAAATTACTAAACGAAGATTAAAATGACATTTTTACAATGACCATTCGTTGCATATGAAGGTTAGTTATGCAACTAATAATGCACATTTAAGTAATATTGGTTGCATATAGACAATTTAATTCAAATACTTTCCTATTTTATAAATTATCTATAAACATAGCTAAGGACCGATTCCACCGTTGTGTTAAACGAAGTTTAAAATGACATTTTTACATTAACAACGTCATTTTAATCTCCGTTTAATACAACGGTGGAATCGGCCCTAAATGAATTATATGTAATATTGAAAGAGAATGTTTTGAGGCTTATGTGAAATTATCTAACATTTTGGTATTATAGTTCATCTGGCAACACTGATTGACGTTGACTTAATGACTTGACATTCACTACGTTGATTCTTGACATTAATAAAAAATCATCTTCATTTTATTTTTTATTCTCTTACGTCTTAACATAGCTAGTCAGTATAAATTATATAACATATTTCCTTCATTTTTAATTCGTTAGAATCATAGAAATATAATATTTTTAAATATATGTATTTAACTAATCGCCAATACGGCTACATATTATAACAAAAAAATATGAAATTAATTGGCTGAATATTTTCAAATAATAGTATTAAAAACGAAGAATGTTTATAATTTTTTTGTTAGGTTAATATTAACACAAAAAAAATTAAAATGTTAGCGAATATTACAGCAAAATTACGAAACTGCACTTGTACAGCAAGAAAATATGCAACATCTGCCCTTAGTACCACCGATAATAGCACGTCGACGAGCATAGAACCTAGGACTTTAACGTTTCCACCAAAATATCAAGAACCTCGCCAGATATGGTTAGAAAGCCTAGATTCAATCGATCAAAGCAAATTAGGTTTGTTAGAAATACATCCCTCAGTATTTGCTGCACGTCCCAGAATCGATGTAATTCATCAAAACGTTTCATGGCAAAAAATGTACAGATATGTTAGTTATGCCCATACGAAATCTAGGTTTGAAGTGCGAGGTGGGGGACGGAAACCTTGGCCCCAAAAAGGTATAGTACTCTTAAAATTAGTATTCAAAACATTTCCAGATTAATATTTTATGTAGGACTTGGGAGAGCCAGACATGGATCCATCAGAAGTCCATTATGGAGAGGTGGAGGTGTGATACACGGTCCCAAATCTCCTACTCCCCATTTTTACATGCTCCCGTTTTATTCACGGTTGTTGGGGCTCACTAGCGCTTTATCAGTAAAGTTTGCCCAAGACGATTTACATATTGTCGACAGTTTAGAGTTGCCAACTGAAGAAAAGAGTTATGTGGAAGAATTAGTTAAAGAGCGATTGTGGGGACCTTCTGTCTTATTTGTCGATGTGTAAGCTCAACAAAACCCATAATTTAATAGTAAAAATTATTAAATATTTATTTTTGTAGCAATGATGTCTTTCCCAGGAGTATAACCATAGCTACAGATGAAATTAAACATATAAACATAATGCCTGCTTACGGTTTGAACGTGTACTCCATGATGAAGCATGATACTTTGGTTTTAACTAGAGCAGCTTTGGATCATATTGAGAGTAAGATCCTGGAGCATTTGCATAAAAATGATACCAGAGCTGTAATGGCCAAGTTTAAAGTTGATCAGCAATAGATTTATTTGTGTTAGGTTTAAATTAAATAAAAGGTTTATTAAATTGGTCTTTTTTTATTTGGTTTGACTAGCGGACCTGACAGACGTTGTCTTAACTATGATATTGATTTCGAATTCGTATAATTAACTAAAAAAATATTTCAGAAACAAAGTGTTTATTATTCTAATGCTTTATGATATACAACATTCTTTGTTTTTTTTTTCTGGACAATAACAAACACAACAAAAAAAGAATTAGCGAAATCGGTCCAGTCGTTTACGCTTGATGTCATGACCAAGGGATTTAGGGATTCATTTTTATGTACTCGTATATAGAAAATTTCCAATTTTCCACGCAATTTTCTTAATTTTTTTTTTTTATAAGAGCCTTCTCCTGACAACAAAAAAGAATTAGCGAAATCGGTCCAGCTGTTCACACGTGATGCCGTGATGAAAAGAGGTGTTCCACAAGGATCTGTACTAGGCCCTCTACTATTTTTAATATATACCAATGATCTTCCATCATATATGAATTCAAATAATGCCGAATTACTAACTGCCATGTATGCAGATGATACCAATTTCTCATATCACTGCAATAACACATCTGACATAGCTATTAAAAACTCTAAGATTATAACTGAAGCTAAACAATGATTTGATAGCAACGAATTATTTTTAAATCACAATAAAACTGAAACATGTGTCTTCAGGTTGAACCAAACTACTAGTGAAACAATGAATACTAAATTTCTTGGTATATATTTTGACACACAACTTGGAACTAACAAATAAATAGCTTATGCAACAAGTTGGCAAAATTCACGTTTGCTCTACGTAGAATATCAAATATAGTTAATACAGAAGCAGCAATAACTAATTATGGCTTATTCCATTCCAATTTAACATATGGGTTTCTAACTTGGGGAAAATGTTAGCTTCACTTCACTACAGACTTTTTACCTTGCAAAAATCAGCTGTTCGCTCTATTCTGCAGGTAAATTATTATGAACCATGCCGACCACTATTTAAGCAACTTAGCATAATGACCCTGTTTTCGCAAATAGTATTTGAAAACTTGCTAGCCATAAAAAATAATTTGAGAAACTTAACATGTCGCTCAATCATATATGCGATACTAGAGGGAAAAATCATAATGCACTTCCGTAATCTACCAGGAAAAAAGTTTAAACATCAAATTAAATAGTATATTACGTAACAAGAGTTGTAAGTAACCCATTACGCACGAAGTGAAAAAGTTTACGCACGAAGCCGCGCAGCGGCGAGTGCGTAATGGGCTTACAACTCGTGTAACGTACTATACTTTTTCAACGCCCACTTATTTTCTACTATTAAATAAAGGACACATGCTTGTGTCACCAATCCATAAATTTTCGATAGGTAATTTCCTACCTTCTTTCATCACTTTCACTACTAACAGATATATTCATAGGTAAAGTTAAGAAAATGTTCGAATACAATATTTTGTATAATGTGTTGCCGACATTTAGGGGCATCACTTTTTTAATTCAAAATGTATTTCGCTAAAACTAAAAGTTTTTATGTTTTTCAATTGACTAAATTTATGTAAATAGACCAAAGCATTTCCAACGGGATTCCTCCATTTTCTCTTATGCTATTCAAGAAAGTGCTCCGATGGGCTATAAGGTTATTTTTTTTGATATTATATGTATTCAGCTTTAGTTGAAGCTTGATAACTGCTCTCATTGATAGATTTATGTATCAGTAAGGTGGGAGGTGGGGTGGGTTGCTCCACAGCACTTAGACCCCATTAGGGTCATTGTTTTTCCTCCAGGGGTACATAGGACTGCCTCTCAACTTGTCGAAAACCTGTTGGTTGTCACTGAGAGGTATCTACAGCTAATTAAAGTCCTGCAGGTTAACACTTGTTAAAAACCCGCTAGTTGTCTCAGTTAAAGTCCTGTAGTTAATAACGTCGCCGAGAGGTGTCCCTAGTTGCCCCATTTGTCCGCCAGCTCCATAGGGCAACTCAATGATAGATATTTGGCACTCTCTGGGCTGTTTATTTTTTTTAAAAGAAAGCAACGAACCCTATTTTTCTGCGTGTTGGAGTTTATTTTGATCTTTGATAGAGTTATCTAGGTATGTTCAAATCAAGAATCAACAGTTTTAAAAACACACAAATTTGCTGCGATAATGAAGTAATGCCGTGGTAGATAATAAAAGCACTCACAACACCAATTAAAAAGTTAGGTTAATAAACTTATCGTATTTTTTCTTCAAAAGTGACCCAACTTAAAATTGACATATTTTGATGTTACCATAAATGGGTTTAGTAAAAATGACAGGCGCTTTCTAGACGAATATCTTCTAAGCCTAATTTAGAACAATTTTGCTAATTGGTGTAAAGTTGTTTGTTGTCAAAAAACGTAAATTGAGTTATGTCACTGTTGAAGCAAATGTGCAGATCTACATTATTTTTGTTTGCCAATCATCGGTGATATTGATTTTTTTTACAAAATGCTGGATTGCCTAATTGGCCGATAAAAGGGGGGATAATTAACGTAGTTTTAACTGTCACCGATCAAAACTCACAAAAACAAACAGTTATGGTTTGTCAAAAGAGAAGCAAACAGTACGGTTTGAATCAAAAAAGTTGAATTACCTCTATTATCAGCTCATATTGACGTTTGACAGGCCATTTTTAAATTAATTGCAATGGAACCACTAAAAAATCATTCTCGGTGCGCTATTGTCAGATTTGACAAATTATAGTTTAGTTGACTTGTAACAGTTTAAATTTGGTTCTTTCACCTTTAATGTATAATTTTTAATTCCTCGTTGATCGGCTGATTTAAGTTGATGTTTCCTTTCTTTGTTCAGTACGCTTTCAGATCCTCGGTGCGGTGTTGTCAGATTTGACAAATTTCCCCAGATCTAGAGAAAAATCGAAGAACTTGTACCCAAGTGACGCACCTTCTTTTGGTGTAGAAGATAGTAATTAATGTAGTTTTAACTGTCACCGATCAAAATAAAAAAAAGGAAACAGCACGATTTTAGTCAAAAGAGCTGAAATTGCCAAACGCATTCGTCAAATTGACAGACTATTTTTAAAGTAGTCACAATGCAACCACTAGAAAAATAAAAAAAATATTCTCGGTGCGGTGTTTTTACATTTGAAAATTTTTAGGTTAGCTGTCTTATAACAGTTTAAATTTGGTTCTTCCACCTCTAATGTATAATTTTGAATTTTTCGTTGGTTCCAGCTGATTTAAATTTATGTTGATGCTTCCTTTCTTTATTCAGTACGCCTTTAAATCTTCGGTGCGGTGTTGCCAGGTTTGACAAATTTCTCCAAATCTAGGGAAAAAGCGAAGAACTTGTAACCAAGTAATGCACATTCTACTAGGGTAGAAGAGGGTAGTAATTAAAGCAGTTTTAACTGCCACTGATCGAAATACACAAAAGCAAACGGCACGATTCCAGTGGAGAGCTGAAATTGCCAAACGGATTTGTCAAAAGTCAAATTGACGTTTGACAAACCATTTTTTAAATAGGCAAAATGCAACCACTTGAAAAACAAAAATAAGTCGTTCACGTTGCGGTGTTGCCAGATTTAATAAATTTCCCCAGATCTAGGGGAAAATCGAAGAACTTTGACCCAAGTGACGCACCTTCTACTGGGAGAGAATAGGGGAGTAATTAATGCAGTTTTAACTGTCACTGATCGAAATACATAAAATCAAACAGCACGATTCTAGTCAAGAGCTGAAATTGACAAACGGATTTGTCAAAAGTCAAATTGACGTTTGACAGACCATTTTTAAAGTAGGCAAAATTTCCCCAGATTTAGGGAAAATTGGATGAATATTTAAACAAACGCTTTAGAGGGATTTTGGAATAATAAAACACAACGAAGTCAAAATAAATTATATATTTTTTTAAATGACTGAAAGTAACTGAATTACCTACTATTTACAAAATGAAAAAGAGATGCTTAAACTAATCGAGTAACGAAAAATTCTTATTAAAAATAAATATTTAACATAACAAAAAAAAATCAAATTTAGCTGATGAAAAAAATATAAATGTACAATTAAATTAAGACGAGAACACATTATTATTCACTCTGTTCATTAGTCTTTGTGTCAATTTAAAAACATTCTCCACTAAAAGTTACGTTACATCTAAAACGAGAGTTTGACACCTCAAAAACGTCATCTGTCAATGAGATACTGTCGCAAAACTGACACTAAACGTCATTTGTCACTATAATTGAAGTTTCTTTTTGAAAACTAACGTGCTACGTCATCTGTCATTATCAATTAGACTGTTTTATCGAGAGAATGCTGTCATTGAAGTGCCAGTGGCTCTCGAGGGGGTCGTGAAAAAATTCACGAAACACGACATTTCCTCTACAAACGATGGAAGCCAATGAAAAAAAATTAAATTATTGAATTATAATTATTTTTATATACAGTCTTGTTTCCGTTTCCATCCTAAGTAGCGAAATTTAATTCCTGTTAATTAACAATCTGCCTTCGTATATACAGGGAAGGGTTGGACCCGAAATACTTCAAAAGTGGTCGAAAAAATGAAAACATTTCGAGACGTTTTCCCCGTTTTTTTGTCTTAAATAACGCCATGAATTCGTAGTTTTATGTAAAACTAATCATCACAGTATGGTTTTGTTTTATTCAAAATATTTTTGGCAAATCCGTTCCGTCTTGTCTTCTTTCTTGTTTTGGCGGTTTCACGCAAGAAGTTTTCTCGCCATTTTTTACTCGTTCAGATTTAAGCAGACGCGTTCACCATCTGCGCGCTGAACATGTGGGCCGTTTCGTATACCATCTGCAACAAAGAAAGACAACTTTAATAATACATAGTACAAAAAGGGGACAAAATACAAAAAAGGGAATTAAATTACAAAAAAAAAGGATAAACTATTAAAAATGGAACAAACTATTAAGAAAGAGGACAGAGAGACACTTAAAAGGACAAAATACTAAAAAATGAAAACATTACAAAAAGGAGATATATTGCAAAAAATAATAAATTACAAAAAGGGGACAAATTACAGAAAAAATTGGATAAATCACAAAAAACGGGACCAATCGGAATAAAGGAAAATTCACAAATAGGGGACAAATTGCGAAAAGGGTAAAAATGGACACAAAATGATAAAAATAACTACAAAAAGTAGACAAACTACTAAAAAAAAAGAGGACAAGCTACTTCTTAAAAGGGGAAATAAATTACAAAAAAGAAGAATAAACAACAAAAAAGGGGATAAAAAAGGATACTCTACTAAAAAATGAAACAAAATACTACTTAAAAAGAGACAAAATACTAAAAAAAGAAAAAATTACAAACAGGAGATAAATGATAAATCATAAAAGAGGACAAATTTAAAAAAAAAATCACCAAAACGCGATCAATTAATAAAGGAAATTCGCAAAAAAGAGAATACATCGCAAAAAGGGGACAAACTACAAAAAATAATGGCCTACTAAAAAATGAAACAAATTAAAAAAGGACGAACAACTAAAAAGGGAACGAAATATTAAAAAGAAAAAAAAATACCAGAGGGAGATAAATTGTAAAAAATCATAAATCACAAAAGGGGATAAATTATAAAAAAAACTACAAAAAGGAGATAACAAAAAAAAATTTGAAAAAAAATTAAAGGACAAATTTTTTAGCACGGGGAAAACACTAAAAAAATACGAAATGGAGATAAATTGACAAGAATTAAGAAACAAAAAGAGTACAAATTCCAAAAAATTGGATAGATCATAAAAACGGGACCAGTCGCAATAAAGGACAATTCACAAAAAGGGGACACATCGCAAAAAGGATAAAAATGGACACAAAATGATAAAAATAACTACAAAAAGGATAACCTACTTAAAAGGGGACAACATACTAAAAAAATACAAAAAGGGATAAACTATAAAAAGGGGATAAACTAAACTAAAAAAGGGGATAAACTACAAAAAATGAGATAAACTACAAAAAGAGATATACTACAAAAAAATGGAACAAACTACTAAAAGAGATGACAAACTACTTAAAGGGAGACAAAATACTGAAAAAGAAAAAATGAAAAATCTCAAAAAGGGGACAAATTTCAAAAAATTGGATAAATAATAAAAAAAGGGACTAATTATTGCAATAAAGAGCAATTTGCAAAAAAGGGGATACATCACAATAAAGGGGACAAACTACAAAAAAAGGAAAAAATTACAAAATGGAGATAAATTGCCAAAAAATTATAAAAATCAAAAAGGGTACAGATTTCAAAAAATTGAATATATAAAAACGGGAGCAATCGTAATAAAGAACAATTCGCAAAAAGGGACACATCACAAAAAAGGGTAAAAAGGAACACAGAATGATAAAAATAAAAAAAAAATACTAAAAAATAGTATAACCTACTTAAAAGGGGACAAAATACTAAAAAAAGGAAAAAATACAAGAAATTTGATAAATTATAAAAACGGGACCAATCGCAATAAAGGGTAATTCACAAAAAAGTGGACAAAATTAAAAAAATGCCAATATATGTGTAAAACAAATCAAATTATTAAACAACAAACATTTACAAGAAACAAAATTTAAATTTACGGTTGTAACGTTGCCAATTCGCATAAAGTACAAAACATTATTGGAAAATAAGATAAATACGCGACGTTACCAATTTTCATCAAATTTCTTAGACCATAGGATTTTTACCAAACGAAATAGATATATAAAAATCGAAAATTTGACAATTGTGCAAAAAATTTATATACAACTGCAAAAAAAGTATTTAAAACATATATATGGAAAAATGGGGTCTGAATAAAAATCCATAAAAACAAAGCTAGAAACGAAGGAATATGAATGAAAAAATAAAAGTATAAAACAAATCAAAATATGGAAGAAGGCAAACAAAAGATGTTAAAAAAAGGTACAAAAATACATTTATGCGTTGCAACGTTGCCAATTCGCATAAAAAAAAGAAAAAATTACTCGAAAATAAGCAAAATTCTAAATATGCGACGTTGCCAATTTTCGTCAAATTTCCGAGAACATAGGAATTTTTACCAAATCAAATATGGTACATACCTCATCGCCCGAATCGGAATCGAACTCTTCGTCTTCGCTGGAATACGGCGATGGTAGTCCCCGGTTCCTCAAAGCTTGCCTTATTTTCGTCGAGACTATGCGGTTGATTTCTAACGCGTCTTTGCCGTTGTACGCCAAGCAATCGACGTCTATGTTTTTGCAATCGAGCAAAAATTGTACGATTTCTTCGTTGCCGATTTGGGTGGCGAAATGTAGGGCCGTGTACCCCATGCAGCCCTCTCTGGCGTTGACGTCGGCTCCGTACCAGATCAGCTGTTTCAGGACGTCGAGGTGGCCGTGCATAGCAGCCACGTGCACGCACGTTTGACCTGTAACCAAAAAGAAGGAGTTTAGACTATGTATGGAGCATTTAGTGGTTGTAGGAAAGTACCAAAGTTTTAATTAATAATATTAATATTAATAATATTGTGAAAACCATTTTCTTTAAAATTTGGGTGTTTTGTAATTAAGTTTTTCATAATATTAATAATAATTAAATATTAATATAATTGAAATTTTTAATATTGTTCATATAATTAATATTATTAACAATATAATATTATTAATTTTAGGGATTGAACTTTTCATCAGCTGTTGCAGTTCTTCTTGCAAAATAAAAAGCAGTGGTAACTTATTAATATTATTAATATGGTGAAAACCATTTTCTTTAAAATTTGGGTACTTTGTAATTAAGTTTTGGATAATATTAATATTAATAATTAAATATTAACAATGTAATGTTATTAATTTGAACTTTTCATCAACTGTTGCAATTCTTGCAAAATAAAAAGCAGTGGTAACTTATTAAACCATTTTCTTTAAAATTTGGGTACTTTGTAAGTTTCTGATAATATTAATAATTAAATATTAACAATATAATATTATTAATTTGAACTTTTCATCAGCTGTTGCAATTCTTTTTGCAGAATAGAAAGCAGTGGCAAATTAACTTTAATTTACAACCATTTATTTTTATTGTGGCTGTAGTTCAGATAAAAAATAGCATTTGATGGACATCTTTTTTTTAATAGATAAAAATTATCAATAACAACACAAAATCACATGAATTTACAAATATAAATATTTAACATACATTAAAAAGATTTGTTTACAAAATTATCAGGTTTACGCCTTAGTATTTACATTATTTTGTTTAAAAAAACAATTAGTATTGACAAATTACCATTTTGTTACGTGAAAAACATTTTCCTTAAAATTTGGGTAGTTTATAATTTTGTTAATCTAAAATTAAATATGTAAATTCTAGAAAATTAATTAATAATTAGATGTTAAAATGAATTAGACATTAAATATATTTAAACGTTTTTATTTCCTATAATTTTTCATCTATATTTCAAGGTGTAGGTGGGTAAACACTTCCAGTTTACTATTATCATTATCAGCTACAGTTATTAATTAACATTTTTCGATATTTTCGATATGCTTACCGGTTTTTAAACATAAATTTACAATTTTATGCTAATGAATTCTCTAAAAAAAAGTATGCAAGGAATGTGTCATGTGGTAACGAAATCCGAATGAACAATATAATATGTTATTGAATTGTATTTTTCTAATTAAATACAGGGAATCCCTGACCCTGGAACGCTGCGGGCAAAACACGCGAAAAATATACGTCACACATTTTTTCCAACAAATTACTCATCACACTGCAAATATTTATTTTATTTTTGAGTTTTTATAAGCGAATGACATCATTTTTTATGAACCAAAAACAATTAATTTTTTACATTATATAGACGTTAAAAAATTTGATTTTAGCAACATTTATATTGAAATTTTGCCATCTAGGTGCAGAATGAAGAAATTTATAAAAATTGTAAGAACTGTTATATGATATTTATTATACAACTTTGGAAATCTTATAACGTGGCTAAATGTCTTTATACAACATTTATGCAACCAAAAGGGGTCCTCTTTTATACAACATTTTGATACCATAGAACAGTGGTCGCCAACCTCTCAATGTGTTGAGCTACTTTGTTAATTTTGGAATAAACAGCGAGCTACCCACACGGAAGCCACGTAACGCAACGTAAATGAAACAATCCACAGTTAATTTAGCATTATATGTATTTATTTTACTATTTAACTGGTAATACATAATATATAGGTACTAATAATAAACTAATAACAAAATAACTAATATTACTAGTACGTACTTGTTCATAGTTACATTCCTACCTACCAAACGAAGGTGTTTGAAAAATAAAACACAACATTTTATCCAGCCACAACGGCATGTCACGTAAGATTTAAAAATAGTTAATAATAACAACAAAAAAGTAACGCACTATCATGAACATAAACATTGAAAAATAAAAAAAGCACGTTCAGTGAGAAGGCTGACACTCAGACTCATCGATAATTTTTTTAATGTTTGCAGTATAATTTGATACAGCCATTCGAATACAATTATCCAAATGTTCATTTGTAAGTCGATTGCGATATTTGTTCTTAATAAACTTCATATTGGAAAAAGAAGATTCACACAAATAGGTTGAACTGAATAATGCTTTCACTTTCAAGGCAACACGGCATAGAATTGAATATTTGTCTTTACTTACAATAGGTCAGATACATTTGGTACTTGAGACTAACGATTTTAAGGCTAAATCATTTTGAAACTCAATTACTTCCATTTCTGTTGCAGCGATTCGCCAAAGTTCTGCACAACACAAGTTGCAAACTATTGGATATCAATTTCCATAAAGGGTGAAACAACAAACTGCGCTACTAAAGCCATTTCGTTGAAATCCTTAAAACGATTTTTGAAGTTATTCTTCAGGGTAGAACTATTTCTACATGATATTTGCTGTCATAGGGTTCTAATGGATTTTGAGATATTTTTTCTGGAAGAATAGGAAAATGCTTGGCATCGCTGTTAATTAGGTTTTGTTCCCAAAACTCCAGCTTTTTGATAAATGCTTTTATATCAGAAATCATTTCCGCTAGTTCTTTGTCTTTCCCCTGAAGCTGCAAATTAAGTTCGTTTAATTTCTCTGTAATGTCCACGAGAAAACCAAAATCTCTAAGCCAGATTTAATTTTCTAGTTCCGGAGTCGGTTCATCGCGTTGTTTGAAAAATTGAACTATGCCAGATAGGACATCATTAAAACGTTTCAGCACCCGTCCTCTACTTAACCATCGGACTTCAGAGTGAAGGAGTAGGTCCCCGTATTGACAGTCAACTTCATCGGCCAAGGTTTTGAATAATCTTCTTTGTAACGCTTGAGCTCTAATCTTGTTCACAATTTTTACCACCAGTTTCATAACTTTGTTTAGTTTCAGGAAATTTCCACATAATGCTTGCTGATGGATAATGCAGTGGTAACAGAGAAATTGCAGAAAAGTTTCATCTTTACGACATAACGCCACCAGACCCTTATCACAACCCACCATAGCTGGAGCGCCATCGGTTGTCAAGCCTACCATTTTCGATATTGGAATTTTCTCGGAAGAAATAATATTTTTTAAATGAAAAAACAACTCCTGTCCAGTAGTGTGTCCTTTCAGTGGAATAAACTTCAAAAGATCTTCTTTAATCGTAAAATCACTAAAAACCATCCTGACGAACACGGCCATCTGGGCAGTGTCAACGACATCTGTTGATTCATCCAGTTGAAGTGAAAAATAAACACAGTTATCTAAGTCAGTTCTTAACTGTAAAAAAATATCATTGCTCATTACTTCTATACGTCTTATCTCTGTATTAGCAGAAAGTTGCATAGATTTTATAGCTGAAACTATCTCGTCTTTATTTCTAAAGTTGGCAAATAACTAATCAGCAGCTTCTAAAAACGCCTGTTTTATCATTTCCCCGTCTTCATAAGGTTTCTTTTTTTGTGCAATTATCTGGGACACACGGTACGATGCTTCAGTTGTAGCCTTATTTTTGTCGACTGTTCTTAAAAATATTGATTGTTGTCCAATTAACTGCTTTTTCAACTGTTTCAGTTTCTCCTTTCTGGCGGCAGAATGTAGTAGGAATGATTTTTCAAAATTAGAATGTACAGTTTTATGATGTCTCTCAATATTTCCTTTTTTAGCAACGGAGACCGAAGTATTACATAACAAACACACATTTTTATCTTTAACTTCTGTAAAAAAGTATTGTTCTTCCCATTCCGAATGAAAGTGGTATGTCTTTACCTTCTTACAACTGCTTGCCATATTATTTTTTGTTATTGTCTACTAACCCAACTGCTGGACGTTGATTACGCGTTCAGTTTTAAACTAAGCGCAATGTCGCCGCGCCGTGCGTATTTATCCCGTTCAAAGCAATCCTGATCGTTATCGAACACTAACGCGCTGGTCCGGCTGGTCGGTTCTAGCCGATTCTAGCTTGATGGCGTCAGCGGCAGATCGCTCACCGCAACGTTGCCGCTGTTTATGTTTAATATTATGACAATTAGATTTTTTTGTGGAATTTTCGGAAGCTTCTCTGATTTTGCAGTTTGTATTTTTTAAATTAAAATCGTTGTGAGAGCTACCAGAATTGCCTCCGCGAGCTACCGATAGCTCGCGATCGACAGGTTGGCGACTATTGCCATAGAAGTTCGTTAAAAGATGTACTTATATACAACTTTTTAAGATACTATTTATTATATAGCAATTATATAGAAGTTTTAGAAAATTATTTTAAGAGAACAGCGTTAAAGAAACAAATATATTGTATAAAACAACATTTATTTCACATATTCCAGTATTTTCGTTCATGTAATAGTACTGTGGGGTTAAATTTGATATTTTTCGTTTATAATCCTTTTTTGTTTTCAAACTGTCAATTACATTATAAAATGATGCCCCATTAGATGCTCAATAGGGTTCAAATCGGGATCACATTAAGTGACCAATCAATGATTTATGATTAACTTGAAATTTGAATAGCTGAATGACGTATCCTCATTGTAAAACAATTCAAAATGTTACAATGCTTAAGAAATACATTTTTACGGCTTTAATGCAGACTGGAGTACCTATCAAAGGATCGGTTTTTATTGTACGTGGAAGAGCTTACTACAAAAAGGATAATAGATAATCCTAAGACTTTTGGCGACAGGATTATATATAGGGATTTCTTTGAAATTTGAATTTGTCTACCTAGAAAGAGATGGGTCATGAAAATTTCTTTTAGAGATGTTCAATATTGATGAATAATTTCATATTTTCTTGGTTTAGTATTTGAAATATCATTGTGTCATATTTTGTTAAGTATGCTATATTTATGTAACAAAGAAGGTCGTTCTGGTGTAAAATTTCGAGGAGACAGAGATGGAAATTTTAAGATTTTTAGTTCTAATAAAAA